TCATCTGAAAGCAAAGTTTGGGTAAATAAACCAGTTTAAATAACCCAACTCAATACCTCTGTCTTCCAAGGCTTATTATAGTATACAAATTTGATTACTTTTTGGGGATACATATGCTGTTTTAAGTAGGTATTAGGATATATATGTGTGTGTGTGTGTGTCTAATTAACTATAACATCTGATGGTTGGTGTCAAGACAATTAAGCTGGATCCAATAAGTATCTTTAACATTGAAATTGTCCCCGAAAATATTTGAGAGCTTCTCCCATACTCCTTACTCACTTGTGTACCTTACATATAGCTGTTTGAATGGAATATAACATATACAGGAGACTTGCTATAATGTGCATTATCATGCAGTGTACCCTAAGCCACAAAGTATTTTTTTTCTATTCCCATTACCAGTCTAAACCTGTGTAAAGCACTTCATTTGACTATAACTTATTTACCTTCTCAATACAAGAATTCTTACCCCGCTGTACTGGTATGTAAATTAGAAATTCAATCCAAGATAACCGGTATGTAAATTAGAAATTCAATCCAAGATAACCGCAAGAGTATTTTCATGTGATATTATTCATCTATTCCAATGTTATATTTAATTATATCTCTCCTTTCTTGTAGTCCTTCCTTTGAGACGTTTTATGAACATTATGTATGACATTAGCACATGATCACAGTTGTATTAATACAGTTCATTCCTTTCATATCGAGTCGTGTGCTGAGAATATTTATTTGCTGTAAATATACTACAGGGAATAAATTCAATAATGGTTAGCATACATTTATATTCCGTAGTTATATTAAATCTATCATCTTAAATCAGACAAATTCTACCATGTACATGATCTTCCTTCACATTCACATAAGACAAAAACTCTGAAGAATTGTTCCATTATGTACATTATCTTTATGCAACTTCCTTAGATGGTATAAAACAAAATATCGATAAAGGATGTGATCTGTTTTGCCAATACTGAAACAAATGTATTTGCTTAATACATTTTTTGCTTAATATAAATCTAAAGATATATCATTATTTCCTGCTTTCCATGTACGTTTTTCCACCGGCGATAAAGTTGGTCTAATGTAAATGTAGTGGAATTGTTTCCATGCAACCACCTTTTTTTTGCGCGTCTACTACACGCATGCATTTCCAATTGGATGTTTATATTTAACTCAGTGAAACCGATATTTTGCATGTATAGCTTAAAAATGGTAGATTTTTTTCACATGTTGTGTGTTAATGTTATCAGAGAAAGGCGGCGATTGAACACTCCATGTGTCAAGAGAAATCCTCACTTATGATGTGATTTATGTGTGATTCCCTTAACTTTTCAGCGATTTTCAGTACACATGGAAATACATAAAATCATGCATGGAAAAGCCTGCATTTTCCGACTAGCGGAAACGTGTACATGGAAAGCAAGCGTGAGTGGGTTTTGTGAAAAATGTAACTTGTATTTGAATACTGTATAACTTTTCAATGTCCTATTCTTTATATGATAACTGAGAATACATATTTGTCATATTGACGATATCTTTTTCAGAAAGAGGAAAATTTAATTGAACTGTACTATTCCTCCCCCTCTGTCTAATACAGCTGTTATAATGTCTTACCTTGTATATGAATCAATAAAACTTAATATTATATTCCATTCACTATCACATAATATACATGTAAAGCTTTGTCGGCTTGTCAGAAATTATAATTTTATCCGCACATTAATAAACAGTGAAAAGAAATCAATATCTTTAGTTGAATATTGATACAATAGATTCTCATTCACACCACTCCAGCAATGCCTGTATTCCAATATTCCACTATCATTATGTGTGTCTGGTAATTCAAGAGGGAGTGACAACAGACCTTTGGTACCTGGAAGCAAGTTGCGAGTCAGATCTACTCTGTCTTACATGTCTATTGATTGAAACCGGTTCCCTGTCTGTGATGCATCATTTATTTTAATTATGTAAGAGTCAACTGCGATCAATATGGATTAAAACCTGCAGAAACACCACAACTGTTAAATCTATCACATGGTCACTCAACTCTGTAGACACCATCTTACAAATAAATACCACCAGGATCAATATAAGCTCAAATATATTAAGATACAGGAGCCATAAAAAACATGAATTCTACAGTAAGAAAAGTAAAGAAAACCAATATATTGTTTAGTAACCATTCGGACAAAGGAATAAAGCACAAACCAACTTCCCTCACTGTAAAATTGTGAGGGGAGTTTTTGTGGTTCAGTGAGGGATTTTCCGGCAGTTTCCTTTTTTTAATGGGGCAGGACAGAGGGTCTAGCAAGGACCAGTGTTTAGTCATTTGGATGCTACATTTTATTTCATTTTGTAAAGTTTTAAAATCTATTTCTGTCATTTATTGGTCTACCTTTAAAACAAAAAATTAATGTGTTTAACCACACCCAGTCACATTGATTTCAATAAACATTTTTGTCCTCTGATCTGAAATAAGGTATGGAGAGAGAGAGAGATAGAGAGAGAGAAATGGGGTTTAACGTCCACTCGACATAAACTAGGACATTTTGGGACTAACATATGGTTTAATTTTAATTCAATAATTTGCTTGCGCATAGGGGTCTTTAGCAGTGGGAGGAAACTGGAGGACCCAGAGGCAGAGAAAACTCATGAGGTTGGACAGGCAAGAAATAAGTTATGGAGTATCTTTCCTGTAAATTAGTGGTATAGTCAAACATAACAACACACCTCATAACAATAAAATAATCAAAGTTCATTATTTCGATTGTAGGGTAATCAATACTACTGATGACATAACTATGTCATTATCTAATAATTGGTGTCTTACTACATATGTTAAAACTATAAGAAGCTGCTTCTTTCAGACCGAAGTAGAATATTACAGACATCACAGTTTACATTAAATTCAATATGCATTTATGGCAACCCCCTTCGGGTCACACTAATTTATTTTCAGTACCGGGTATTTAATTTTTACAGATCAGTCTAAAATCTTATACTGAAATCAGTTTTAGTACTGGCTTGTTCTTTAAATTGATTTTTAAGTCTTATTTATTCTGTTTTTAAAGCTTTGTTCAATCAGAAAAATTGATAAATCACACATAAAGCATTACCAAATCAAATACAATGTATTCAAGAATAAATGAAAACATTTCGCTTTGGGGTATTTTCCCTTTAAGAAGAATATAGAATGTATGTTATCATATTCTGTGACCAATATTGATATCTTGAAGCTGGCCATTTTATAATCTAATATGGTATCTCTCAGTGGTATTCTATATCAATAATTAGCCAATAATCAGCTAACTTGATTACAGATGCAGTAAGTTCAAGGGCTACTACACCATTTTTTTTCTCAAATACAGGCAAACTTGCTGGCCAAATAATATTTTTGCAAAACAGTTATTGATTTTTATTCACTAGCCTTCAATGAAAATCAATTACAGGACTTTTATCACCATGTTGAGAAATACTGTAATTTACACACTATTCTCATCAATACACAAAACTGGCATTCCTTCTCTTTTTTCTAATCTATTCTCTTTTAATCTGTTGAATTCAAAACCATGAAGGCCCAAAAAGTAGCACAAGATTAATCCCAAGGCTAGAAATTTGTATGAATTTTGCAAATGATTACAGTAATGGAGCTCCTTCAACATGCTTATATATTATAGTGATAGGAGGCTAGTACTGTCTTTTTTAAATACATTTGGGTGACTTGGAAGACCTAGTTTTCGAAAACTTACTTTATGAATATCCTTCATGACAGTATACAACATGTTTGTACTGGTACTAAAATAAAGCCGAAAATATTACCAGGTTTATTAAAGGGGCATTATGGGAAATTAGATAAAGAGTTGACAGTTCTCTCTATAATATAGTTAAAACATAGGTAACGTAAATAGAATATGCTGAAAATTTCAAAGCTAGCCTTGATCATCATTATTAAACTCAATATGATAAAAAAACAAAGTCTTGATTATCCCTTTTTACGTTTAATTATTTTTCAAAAAATGTATTCCAATCTGCTAAATATTGCAAGGTAGCGATGAAATCAAGAGTTGATTATGGTCTGGATTAGTTAATTAATGTATAATTAATAATTAAGATAACATTTCAGGCCTAAAGAAATACCTGTAATAGGCATAATGTGTGTTTAAAAAGAATAAGAAGAGCTTAACAAGTTATTAATAATAATTTCAGTTCAATTCAACATATTATCAAGATATATCTAACAGATTCATGAGGTAATTCTAGGATGATTGATCACAATGCTACTTCCACATTATAGCAATAAAAGTGTATTTTATATCTAAAGGGTATTCATACATTTTATGTTCATATTTCATTTGTATGCTTCAGGTTGTTTTTTCTTGCACAGTATTTGATCAAGTGGCTAGTTTTAAAAATGCCTGCCCACGCACATCTTTATAGACAATAAATCATCCTTCACTAGAACTAAACTTTTTTTTTTCGGAACAGCAGCATGTGCATCGGCACATGTGCATTGATCCATAGTTAATATATACAGGACAGCTATTGTGACAAATATCAGAGTTTTATTGGCAGGCACAACGTGGTTTCACTTGAGAGAACATCCTCAGCTATCAAATCTAATTAAGTGTACATTAAACATACTCATGAATTATACTCATCCTATTTTCAGAAAAAAGTTTATCAGCATTGTTATAACATAATATTAAGCCTCTTTAACATCCATGTTAAATTTATCATTGATCTAAAGATATATATATCCGCTTGCCTTAGCCTTTCAAAAGTTCTGTATTTTTTAAGACCAACATTCTACATAGCACATCATCAAACCAGAGTTATCATTTAGGTTACATTTCTGATTATTTAAATCTCAGTCTGTCTCTACAGGAATTTGTTATAAGGTGCCAATAAAAACAGAATTCAAGACTGATATGACTTATATAATAAACTTTACCATATACAATAGCCTAAACAACAAACACAGCGGGAATACTCACATATAAATACAAAGCACATATCATCCACTGTAATATAGATAAGGAAACCTCTCTCTTTCTTTATCTAAGTGTTTTATAAGCATTTATTCCATAAATAATCCAACAGAAGCACAAGTTAGCAAACTGACAGTCTCCACATCTAAAAATTATCTCCGACTAATCGTGAGTGATTCAAGCCACAAGGTCTGATTGTCAAAATGGTGACATATCATTTGCTGACCCGCTGAGATGTTAAGATCCACACACCAATTTGGCACTGGTAAAACTGAAAGAAAAAAATCAATGAACTTTGTCACAAATTGAGAATAGCAATGGTTGCAGAGAGAATCAAAGTGAATCAGCTTCAAACATGAGATATTGGCATTGTTCTAGGGCCTGAAAATACCGTAATTACCATTTAACGGGTGGTTGACTTATTGGTAATCACCACCTGCACGCTAGTCTTGCAGACACAGACTATAAACTCTCATCATCTGATGGCAGCTGCCAGTAACATCCATAACTCCCATCTTAACCTAATGGACTGATGCAATGATGTTAGAGAAATTTCGACAAGAGCTTTATATCACTGATGGTCTAGGTAGACTGTATATATTCCTAGTATGTTGAGAAATATACCAGTGGTATGTTACATGTATATAAGATACAGATTGCTTCAGTATGGTAGTAGAAATGTTATGTGGAACTATTAATAGTTTTCTGGCTGGTCAGCAGTCTAATCAAACTGGACATATTGAAAACCATTGATTATATGAGGTTGACTACTTTCACAAGGCATATTTATTATTCATACGAATAATAACCTTTTCAACAACTACCAGTAAAATATATATTTATCATGAAAATTTAACAATATCCCTTATCTACAGAAATGACCAAGATAGTAAGCAATTTTCATTGAACATGGAACTAGAACAACTAATATTCACATTCATCCTGCTCAGTTTCATTATAATACTTTGTGCAAGACACACTAATACATGTACTGTACATATTTTTTGTATGAGACACACTAATATACATGCACATATACTTTGTGTAAAATAGTCTGGTACATGAAATTTTGTATTGGGCAGACTACTATATACACGTACATATACTTTGTATGAAACATGCTAATATACTTGTATGTATATTTATTTTGTATGAGACACAATAATATACATGTACTGTGCATATCTTTTGTATGAGATACACTAATACATGTGCTGTACATGTACATATATTGTTTTGTATGAGACACACTAATATACATTTATTTTGTATGAAACATGCTAATATACATGTATTTTGTATGAGACACAATAATATATATGTACCCTACATATATTTTGTACGAGATACACTAATACATATGTGCTGTACAATATATTTTGTGCTAATATACATGTAATTTGTATGATACACACTGATATAGTTTTACTGTACATGTATTTTGCATGATACACATATACATGTACTGTATATGACATAGATTTTGTTAATAGATTGCCCCAAAATCTGAACGATGGCGACGTTTTCATAACCATGGATGTTTGTAATATGTATGGCAACATTTCCCATGACCTATGCCTTCAGGCCATAGAATATTGGTTGGATAAACATCCTGAATGCAGTCATGAGAGAATTTCAAAAAGCTTCATCCTCAAAGCTATACGAATCATCCTGACTAACAACACTTTTACATTTGGCGAAACCAATTACAAACAGATTCTTGGTATAGCGATGGGTACCAAGGCGGCACCACAATTATGTAATTTAACAATGGGATTCCTTGAGGAAAAACTATACTCAATTGTAGAAATTGAACATGGGGTGGATTACAGATTATATTTAGAAAATCAGTTGAAACGATTCCTAGACGATATATTCTGTATTTGGAATGAACGAATTGGCAACATTGCAGAATTGCAAAAAATAATGAATGATTTAGATCTAAATATCAAATTCACAATTGAAACGAACGATCTGCAAATCGCATTCTTGGACGTTCTAGTGAAACGAAGGGGAGAACTCCTTATAACGGATATGTATTCTAAAGAAACAGATACCAAAAACTATCTTTCATATAAATCATGTCACCCACGCCATACCAAATATAATATATCATTTTCTTTAGCTAGAAAAATATGCACCATTGTGATAGATGAAGACCTCCGGGTTGTCAGATTAGGTGAGCTAAAAAGAAATTTATTGAAACAGTATTACCCTCTCGAGGTAATAGAAGTTGGGATAAATAAGGCTTTGGCAATTGATATTCAAACACTGAGGGCTACTAAAGCAAAAGACAGTTCGGATAATATCATTACCTTTGTCGCTACTCATAACCCCCAACATCCCAACTTCTTTAAAACAATGTACGGGAGTAGGGCAATCCTGGCATCAAACGACAACCTCAGAATTAAATTTGATAAGGTTCAATTCATTAAATCACAAAGACAGCCACCTAATCTGAAGCGTCTCCTAACCAAAGCAAAATTCAATTCATCTATCACAAGGACCGGCTTTTATGTATCTAAATGCCCGGATCTTCGATGTAAATGTTGCGACCATATTACGCCAAATAGCAAATATAATTTTCCTAAGTTTACATTTAGTGTCAACGACAATATGAATTGTGACACAAAAAATCTCATATATGTCTTGACTTGCAATGGGTGTCTAAATTTTTACATAGGGGAGACGTCCACGCATCTACGGGATAGAGTACGCAACCATCGACGGGATTGTAATATTGAAAATGGGCCCTTATTTGTAAATAGACATATTTTTAAATGTGCACAACACCTACAAGTAAAATTCTAAATTTTCCCTTTTTATAAAATGAAAGTCGATGACACCACGAAAAGGAAATTAATGGAAAACCATTTTATTAAAAAATATGTTCCTCGACTTAATAGTCAATAAGTAACAATTGGCCATTAGCTTCATTAATTTTCTTAAATCTATTCCATGATTATCTTTAACGCATTGTTCATAAATTGAACCCCATATACTACAGATTAACACATGTGTGTACATGTTTCTATTAGTTAACGATATACTATGTAACCATAGACAATGGTAACTATAGCCAATTAAAACCACAGTGTTACTATGTAAATATGTATAAATATACTATACTGTCCATCTTTATACAATGACATTATTTATAAATAGTCCCAAGACGGACGAAAAGTACTTTAAAATGTTAAAATGTTATTAAACCAGTGCTGAAATCAGTTTGTGTCGGCATACCTTTTTTTATCTTTTCATCATTTACCGTGAAACAAAGTAGTGCAGCTTTGCGGTTGTGCTAATAATTTTGGATATATATATATATATATATGTTCTGTACATATATTTCGTCTGAGATACACACTAATACATGTGCTGTACATGTATTTTGTATGAGACACACTAATGTACTTTGTATGGGACACACTGGTATACATGTTCTATATATGTATTTGTCTGAGACTAATACATGTGTTGTACATGTATTTTGTATGCCAACATGATACTTTTGAATAATCTAATAGATGGAGGAAAGCAAATCAAGACTTTATGGATGTTTATTTATGTGACTGAACCACATTAGGTCAGCAGCACATTCTCAATTTTGGCACTACCTGTTCTAGTATTAAATCAATCGGAAATATAATAATAAAGAATTTAGATATCTCATGTAGAGCTGTTCTACTTGATGGTGCTGAGCTGCACTGTCAGATTTGGTAGGCCTATACACAATTAAACAAGTTAACAGTGAGGCTGATGTTCCCCGCCGAAATTCCAAAATAAAGTATCAAGCAATCAAACTGATAATCAATTAGCCACTAAGTTTCATCACTCTCTATCAGATTGAATCAAAGTTATCTTATCCCAAAGCATCAGCAATGAAATTGCTTAGCTCTGCTTAACTTTAGCTCAAAATGTTAATCATTGAACTCAGTAATAAACATCTACATCAAGTTTAAACATTACCTCAATTAAAAGCAGAGTTGTTATGTTCCAAAGTCTTGACCAAATTGCTTATCGCTCTTTAACCTAAGCAGAAAATTCTCATCATCGAACTTAGTCAAGGTAATGATATAATGATAAGTATGCTCGGAGTTTCGTCACTCTCTCTTAATTATAACCAAAGTTATCGTTCCCCAAAGCATCAACCAATCAGATTGCTTATCATCGATCTTCATCAAGGCATTGACCTAATGAACACTTCCACCAAGTTTGAACATTCTACCTCAATTAGAAGGAGAGTTATTGTTTTCCAAAGTCTTGACCAATCAAATTGCTTATCGTCTCCTTACCCTGAGCAGAAAATGCTCATTATCGAACTTAGTCACGGTACTGATGTAATGAAACTATACACCAAGAACTAAAGTTATCATGTCCCAAAGCATCAACCAATCAAATTGCTTATCTCTACTGACCCTAAGCAGAAAATACTCATCTTCAAACTCCGTCAATGCATTGACCTAATAAACACCTACACCAAGTTTGAACATTCTAGCTCAATTAGAAGGAGAGTTATTGTGTTCCAAAGTCTCAGCCAATCAAATAGCTTATCGCTCTGCTTACCCTTAGCAAAAAATGCTCTTTATCGAACTTAGTCAAGGTATTGATGTAATGAAACTATGCACCAAGTTTCATCACTCTCACTTAATTAGAACTAAAGTTATTGTGTCCCAAATCATCAACCAATTAAATTGCTTATCTCTGCTTACCCTAAGCAGAAAATGCTCATCTTCGAACTCCATCAAGGCATTGACCTAATAAACACCTACACCAAGTTTGAACATTCTAGCTCTATTAGAAGGAGAGTTTTTGTGTCCCAAAAAGTGTAACGGACAGGACGGGACAGACCGACAGACAGACAGACAGACAAACCCATTTTAATAGTCCCCTGCTTTCTTTGAAAGGCGGGGAACAATAAGTGAATTTTCAAGCATGATTTAAAAGACTCTGATATTCTGGCTTCAAACACCTTACGACTTTCAGGGAATGTAACTCGTTGACATGTGTTCTCTAAGTATGAGAAATGAATACAGATTTTTGAAATGGATCTTCAATACTTTATTTCAGGAGCAAATAATTAACAGCAACAATTTAACAACATATAATTTCCTACATATCAGACCTCCAACTAAGCTGGTCTCTCCAACTAATGAATCATCTTCGTTCGTTCGTTCGTTTGTTCTTGGTGTTTAACGTCTGCTTCCACATAAGTGATATCGCAGACAAGACATAGGAGAGCCGAAGCTGATTCCTGTTTTTTAGAATATG